AGTAACCCTAGTATTAAAGTTAATTAACTGTTTCATAGCCTGATGGGCGAATATCTCATTCAGTTTCTTACTATATGTCGACGTTATATTCAGGTTTATATTAATATCTCCGATAATAATGGTATTTACCATGTTATCGCATATTTCCGACAAAATGGTCTCCATATATGCTAGAAAATCCGCATCACTTGAACTAGGTGAGTGATAGACCACCCCGATTTTCCATTTCGTTTCGAGATTTTTCAGTTGGATAACTACACACCAAACATTTTTATCGATAGATTTGTCTAGTTTTATTTTAAAATCTAGAACGTTACGCAATATTATGATTACCCCTCCTGTATGTCTACTGTACGAGTCACATCTTACAACTTGATATGTTGGAAACTGTATTTCATAGTCATATATTTCCTCTGTTGTACAAGTTTCGGAACATAGAACTATATCCGGATCAACAATTTCAATTAGCCTTTCAAGTTCTATTTTATTAGCTATTATACTACTTATGTTAAGATAAATGCATTTCAAGTAACTGTTATGCTTTTCCTGTACTGGGTGAACCGTCAACTCCATGCCAGGGTTCCTATTAACTGACTGTAATTGTTAAGAGCTGGCTCTATTTCTCCTATGCTCTAGTTTCTTAATGTAAACAGGACACTGTCGGTTTGTTGTCAAGTGGTTCACGTCGAGCCCTAGATTAAATTTTTTGTTTGCACGAATGCAATTGATACACTTGTTTATTTGCTCCTTTGTGCACTCCATTGTTTTATGATTACCCAAGCACTTCAGGCAGACCTCTTCATCCTTGCACTTCGTAGCTATATGATTGAAGCCCTTACATTTGTAGCAGACTGACACACCCATACCATCTTGTACTCTACATTTCTCCCAGCCAATATTTATTTTTTCGGTTTTGAGCACTGCCGAGAACGTATCAACGTCCGTTTCAATGAGCACATTATAGTATTTAGACTTATCTTTCTTGACTTCAATGTATTTAATAATTTTAAAGTCAGCACTTTTTAAACATTCATTTTGTTTTTTTTATCATTTCTACAAGTTGCTCGCTCTCATATTTAAAGCTTACTCCAAACGCCATAAACTTGGGTTTAGGCGTATTCGGCACTCTAATTTCATAGCGATCACTCATTTTATTTGCAATTGCAGTCTTTATTTTATCGCGCTCAGATTCGTTTTCGCTTTGAATAACGATTGTACCACTTTTCCTACCCTGCACATTGCTTATTTTTAGATCAGACGGATCAACGTTCTAATTCAGGTCCTCTTTTGTTTTCATCGCGTCTTGCTTCTCTTTCGGTTTTATGAGGGGTTTCTCTTTATTTATTTTCGGCTCTTTGTGATTCACTATTCCGCTTTTTAAACGCTCAGCATATGAGGCCTTGCTATGATGACTTGTTTTCAGCTCTTCACTTACTGACTTTTTTATTTCTTCACATATTTTTCTACTTTCACTCTCATTTCGTACCATAGCTTCGCATAGATCTTGGCTATGCTGTTTCACATCTTCAGCTACAGCTTTCGTCTTATTGGCCTCAGCAATGCTCCTTTCGCATGTTTTTTGAACTCTTTGCATTGCATCTATACGCTCACCGAATTTCCTCTCTATAGCTTCTAAAAGGAGCTTTAGCTCTTTAACCTGCATTTTTTGCGATTCTTGAAAGTCGTCTTTACATTCTTTTATGTTTTTACTATTATTCTCTATAGAGATATTCATGTTTCGCAACACCTCATAAATATTATGCATATATGTGAGACAACCATCACACATAAAGCGCACATATGCATTGTCCGCAAGTACTTTTTTACTGTACTCATCGAGATCAGAGGATTTATTTGCCCAGTAAAACACTTTGCCGCCACGATCCAGAAAATAAAGGCCGCGCCATTCGCGGACCGCTAACCCTCTCTTCGTCGATTTGACAGCATTCACCCAATCGCTGACGTCATAAAATACATTTGTTTACATTCTGTTGCCNTCAACGTTCTAATTCAGGTCCTCTTTTGTTTTCATCGCGTCTTGCTTCTCTTTCGGTTTTATGAGGGGTTTCTCTTTATTTATTTTCGGCTCTTTGTGATTCACTATTCCGCTTTTTAAACGCTCAGCATATGAGGCCTTGCTATGATGACTTGTTTTCAGCTCTTCACTTACTGACTTTTTTATTTCTTCACATATTTTTCTACTTTCACTCTCATTTCGTACCATAGCTTCGCATAGATCTTGGCTATGCTGTTTCACATCTTCAGCTACAGCTTTCGTCTTATTGGCCTCAGCAATGCTCCTTTCGCATGTTTTTTGAACTCTTTGCATTGCATCTATACGCTCACCGAATTTCCTCTCTATAGCTTCTAAAAGGAGCTTTAGCTCTTTAACCTGCATTTTTTGCGATTCTTGAAAGTCGTCTTTACATTCTTTTATGTTTTTACTATTATTCTCTATAGAGATATTCATGTTTCGCAACACCTCATAAATATTATGCATATATGTGAGACAACCATCACACATAAAGCGCACATATGCATTGTCCGCAAGTACTTTTTTACTGTACTCATCGAGATCAGAGGATTTATTTGCCCAGTAAAACACTTTGCCGCCACGATCCAGAAAATAAAGGCCGCGCCATTCGCGGACCGCTAACCCTCTCTTCGTCGATTTGACAGCATTCACCCAATCGCTGACGTCATAAAATACATTTGTTTACATACTGTTGCCATTTTGACGCTTTTCGCACCAAATTTAGTGGGTATTCAAAACGCGACGCTTTTGGTGCTTTTGTTTTTAGTTTGAAGACATCAAATTAGAAAATCTTAACAAAATGGAAGTAAAATTTATAGCAATGGTAAGTGTGGTAAGCAATTTTACAAAAATTTAAACAAAATCACAGCACAGTGACAGTCATAAGCGACAACGAAATATGTGCAGCACCTTCAATCATGCCAGAAGAAATCGACCGTTGTGCAAGAAACATTGATTTTTATTAATTTGAATCGGCATCCTTACAATAAAATTATGTATTCATATAAAGTCCATAAAATACACCAATAAAAATTTGGTGCTTTTTCAAATTCAAAACTTGGCAATACTGGCTTTTGTTCGATGCTTCTTCTTTTTCTTGTCGAGTTCGTCTTGCTCTCTCATTCTGGTATATTTTGACGTCACGGCCAGTTGCTCTCAGCTCGATTGGCGCAATCTTGTATTCTATCAAGAATTATTGAATACAAGATTGCGCCGATCAGAGAGGATTTTTGAGAATAACTTTTGTGTGACGTCACACTGGTGCAATTGCGAGAGAGAAATGCCAAAACGTGAGCAAGAATGGAAGAAGAAAAAATGTTGCAAGGAAAACGTAAACTAGTTGCACAAGTGTGACGTCATGCAAACAACGATTCTGTCAAATTCGTTAAGAGAGGAATAGCGGTCCGAGATCGGCGCAACCTTTGTATTCTCTCAATCGTGGTATTCTATCATTCTTGCTTTGCCGCATATACCTTCACAGCGGATTCCACTCTCACCGCGTATTAGGCCTTTGCACTTTGCATCATTTTCTTGGCTGACACTTCACTGCACTTTTCAGTGTTTTTTATTTATTTGCCGACGTCCCAAGCCTTGTCGCACGGTGTTATCGACACTTGTGTTTATTCATGATACAAATATTTAAAGGTAAAACCGCTCGCTCAATTCGTCCGCCATTGGGTTTTTTTTTTACGTTTGCTAGCATTTTGAGTTTTCTCTCTCGAAATGCTTCTAATGCCAAAGAAATTCAAAACCAAATGAAAATTTATGATTTGAAATATTTATTTATTCAGAAGTTGAAAAAACTAAAAAAATTGAAAACGAAAAATTAGTTGCTGCTTTAACGGCTGCCCAAATTCCTTTTCCTCTGCAAGCAAAGCAATCTAAAGATCCTCAAGTTCCCGCAACTATCGTATATGCAGCAAAAATGGATGGAGGTTTGTGGTGTTATGAAAACGGATTTGCCAAAGTGCCCCTATGTATGCTCGACTCATTTTTTGCCATACCACCTGACCCAATGTAAGCACAAATAGTTCTTTGCAAAAGTGCAGTGCCTTTAAGGTAAAATATCTTCAAACGCATGCCAAAAGCTTCGCCTAACATGCGGGCAGAAGTCCATTACTGACAATTTCGTCCATTTATTTATTTACATATGTATGTATATTCAAATTTTGTTGTTTCGACAGAAATATATTTCTTTGGTTTGTGTGAAAATAAAAACAAACAATTGCGAAATGACGGCGAGAGAAATTTTCAAAATGCTAGCAAACGTCAAAATTCCTAAAGTTGGCTCTCAGCGATTGTACCTTATAAATATTTTTATCATGGTGTTTATTATGGTTCACAATTCGTTCTTTGTGTTTGTATGTATGTGTTATGTTTACTAGATGTGAAGCACGAAGCCGCTGCTGCGCGCCTTTTCGCCTATCACTATTCTCTTCACTTTCACCGTTTTCTTCCTAGTCAAAGTATACTTTAATTTAATTTGATTTGCTTAAACTAGTGTCACTATCACTTTGCTATCTAGCGAAATTCACTTTCCGATTATATATATGAATCGCTATTTGCATTTGAAATCGCGTTAAGCTATTAAAAACCGCTTAATTTAAAAAAATTCGTGGAGCCAACCCTAACGACCTTTCACACCCACGATTTTCTTGCACTTCGGCAAAATAGTTGCATTAAAACCCCGCACAATGAAATGTAAACATATTTTTTACATTTATGATGTATTTTTAGTAAATTAAGTATGTTTTTATAATTATCACGCACTTGTATATGTATACGCACATATAAGACCGCACTCCATCATTTGACTTTTACGCGAGATAATAAGGCATACCATACTCCAATTTTTCCAGAAATACTAAAAAATATGATTCCTCGTTTATCAATGCAGAAAAAATATACTTTAATGTTGCTAAAATTAATTCTGATGATGTTCGGAAGCACAACAATTGCCCTATTCAATTTTTTAACGATTTAACAGCCCTATTCTGTTGCCCTCACAAAAATCACCACACTCACTATTGTGAGGTTATCCCTATGCTGGCGTAAATTCGAAAGCTCATACGCTCACAATTGTGAGAAAATTTATGATGTACGAATGAGACCCTCACAAGAGAAAAACAGCCGATTTTTATTGAGCAAATGTTTTGTTAATTTTCGTTCGCTATCAGTGTCTGTGTTATTTTTTATTTTTTTAACTAAAAGTATATTCAGTAATGGCAGTTATTGCTTGTTTTTTCGGCAGTTTCGGAAGAGTTAGAGCAGGCATAGGATTTCATTTCCATACAAACTTTTGCACCAAGTTGTGGATTGCAAGCTGTGTAAAGTACTGGAGCTACTCCTGCTTTATTTTTTTTTTTTTTTTGATTTCGCCTAGAAAATAAATAAACTCAGTAATTATCAAAAAAATAAACAAATTGCAAAAATATTTACTTTTCCTGTTGTTCAGCATCCATTTTTTGTATTTATTTTATTTACGAAACAGCTGTTAGACAGCAAAATGCTTTTCACCTCGTGTGTTGATTTGGTTGAGCTTTTTTCTTATGAGGTGTGGGCAAGAATAACCTCACAAAATAGACCTCACAAATTTTTGCTCACAACTCAGTTGTGAGGTTTTATTAGAATAGGGCTGTAACTCTCAGCGAATTACTTATACGCAACATAAAAACAAAAAACGTAACAAATGCATAAAAACTCTTTAGATAGTGAAGTTTTAACTGGCATTTCAATTGGCTTGCGTATATTAATCCCTCGCATTCATTTGCCCTATTTTGGCATTTTTTTGCTGTTTTCGTTCCATAGTTTCCAATTATTTCCTCTTTTTGTATGACCTTGTTTTTATGGACAATTGTATGCTACTGCCAGTATACTTGGTTCATATGACAGTGTTGATCTATATTTCAGATACTTCTGACCAAGGTCATTTGTCTGACGACTAAAGAATTTTTATAAAAAACATTGATAATAGAGAAATCGTTGCCTAGGTAATAAAATATTAAAAAATATAATATGTAGCCACCTTTTAGTTCCAAAGCAGGATATTTTCTTTTGAGTAATTTTGTTCCTTATAACTCAATCGACGTGCTATGTTTGAAAACATTCCCCAGGGCTCCAAAAACTAGAAAAACCGTCGAATTTTGACAGTACCTGTCATTCCTAGTACTTATTATAAGCTGGTTGCATCAGCTATGGGCTGTGTATCTGTAGTCTTGGGTTTATGTTGAAATTCCTTATCAAAATGTCCAAAACCATTTTGTTTGGATGCCAGTGGTTTTAAGTTCTTGCCAGTTTTCGACCTTCGGGTTAATTGAAATCGATATTATAATTAAACAAGATATTTCCTTACATTACTTACACTTCTTTTAGTACGTGTAGTTTAGGTATATTTTTGGTATAAGCTTTAGCCCCTGTTGCTTCTAGAGCAGCTAATTCCGTCGGATGCATAGTTTTTTTATGAAAGCGACAACTTGGCCCAGTGGAGAAACTTTTATCACAAAAGTCGCATTTGTAAGGTCTGAGGTCAGTATGGGCAATTATGTGGTTTTTCAAAGCGCTTGGCCGCTTAAAGAGACGGCCGCAAAAGTCACATTTATGAGACATCTTGTCGGAATGCACCAATAAATGACTCTTAAGAATAGCTCGCGTACTCAACTGTTTGCCACATTGAGGACAAATATGCTTGTCTCCGTGTATTTGCATATGCGTCTGGAAAATTATATTCAAAGCATTCAATTATATTCCTGTATGTGTTATTATATATTACCTTTAGACGTTTTTTTAATTTGAAACGTCCACCACAAACTTTACATTCAAATGGGGCATAATCAGCGTGTTGCAACATGTGATCTGATAGCTGTTTTTTTCTGGGCAAAGTCACACCACATACTTCACAAATAAGCGATGGCCGAGCTACATGTTTACATTTTATATGTCCTTCTAAACGTTGTCTTGTTGCGAAACTTTTATCGCAATGTGAACAGGAAAAAGACTTTGGGTGAACTTTCATATGCGACTCTAATTGATGAGTGTGTTTGTATGAATCTGGGCAATGTGGACAAATTATTTCACCATGTGCCTTTTTCATATGACCACCGTAAACCCTGATATATTTAAAACTTTCAGAGCACATTTTGCAAGAGTACTTATACTTCAAGCCATGTGTAGATGTATTCCAGATATTTTCCGACCGTTCTGTTATATTTTTTGATTCACCCTTTCTTATTTCAAAATCTTCATCACTATCTTCACTACTTTCCGCTGGAGAATAATCTGGGTCATCGTAATTACTTTCTGCATCGCCAAATGGATCTTTGAATTCATCTATTTTCTCTAAGTCAGCTGCAAGAATATCCGTCTGCAGTTCATCAAAATTTTTCTCACTTTTTATTTCGATTTCTGATGACTGCGATGCAGTTGTATTTGGCAAATCGGCCACGAAAACTTCTTCAACTGGAAGTTTAGTGGCAGAAGGTATTAAAAATGGTTCATTTTCAATTAAGTCGTATTTCTCAAGCAATGTATTTGAATTGAGTTCGCCTAAGTAGTTCTTACATTGCAAATCGTCGTACATTTTCTGAACTTTGTTTACACGCTCTCTAAATATGACTATAGAACTCATTACTTGGTAACATTCTGTACAAATCAACTGCGAAAGCTTTTCATCCTCTTTAACCTGGAATAAAATGAAATTAAAAGCATACATACATATGTATGTACAAATTCTGTTTTGAAATGCTTTTCTTACATGAACCCGAAAGAAATCTTCTATAAGAGTTGCAATAGTATTATAGTCGTAGCCCCTATTACTTATCGTGGGCAGCTGACTCTGTCCTGATATGATGTTTATGTATTGAGAATTAGCCTTTGCACAGAGACGGCACCAACTTTTCCATTCCTCAGTAATAAAACTAGCTTTACCAAATGTACATCCCGTCATATTCATATCAATGATCTACCTTCATACGTATGTTTATCAAATGCGTACGATTTTATTTTTATTCTGCCTAGAGATGCAGAAAACCGGTGCGATATTCAGTATACCAATATCGTTGTTCAGTATATCGGCAAATTTGTATCAATAACACGAGTACGATATCGATAAAAGTAACATGTGCGGCCTGTGCCAATTGATAGAAAATGGGAAATTTTGACTAGCTTTCGAATTTCAATTTTCAATTTATTTGTACACCAGAGTAAATTTTTCCACCCCGTCCAAAATATTAAAAATCAAGTTTTTGTGTTTCAATTTGTTTTGTGCGAATGTCTGCTTCATGATATTAACGCACACGGATTACGTAGAGACTTCAAAATGTTTAGTTTGTATGCACTATATATCTCTGCGTACGATGAGACCTGATGAAAGATAACTAATTACCGCCTTGGCCTCTCTTTTTGGCGGGCAGACATGCATACAATTTTGATATTTTTTTATAGTTTTTATTTTTTAAATTTTTGAGAATATAAATTTTTTGAATGTTGGCGCGTCAAATGAAAGCTTTTGGCTCTTTCTGATTGGCTGAAGCAGAAAGCTTTCTGATACAACTCTGCGCTGAACTGGTTTTCAAACGAGTTAAATGATTTAACTGGTTCAATTTTCCAACAACAATTGCATGCAATTTAATTTGCTTATGAACTTGTTTTGTTCAATTAACTGGCTCAAGCTCATTTAACATGTTTAACTCGTCAATTTGAACATAGTATTAGATTAAGTAAACTGAGTTTAAATTGAACAGCTGGCTGACATTTGATTGGCTGATCATAGTTTAAACCAGCGAGATTGGGCGTTTAAACTCCGTTTAAACCACGGCCGTGCACTGAAAATCTCTCCCTAATAGTCAGTAATAAATAATAGTTACGAAAAAAAGTTTAATGGCTAAATATTGGCTGGTGACCAACTTTGTTGAAAGCGATTAGTTGAAAGGCCGTACAACTAAAAGAAGAAAACAAAGTTGAACAATGCAAACGCCTTTTTATGGCGAATATTTTGATATATTTTTATACTTTGATATTTTAAGCCATTCATTTTTTTTCGTGCAACCCTGCCTGAGTTGAAGGCAAAAGTTGTTTAAGCTATTCTTCGCCTAAGGAGGAAGACGAAAAGAAAATTACAACTCTCTCGCTTTCGCACTCTCTCATAAGAAGTTTTGACAACTGAGTACCGAGGCGAATTAAAGCAGCTGTTCTTGCGACACCACCTTTATGAAAACGCCTTGTTAAATACGCCCTTCGATTTTCGATCTTCGTTGGCTATCGAAGATCGAAAGTGAAATTCGTATTATGAGCAGTGATCGGACTCCTACCACATTGTGATAGATCTTTCACTTTTTTGAGCATCAACCACTTCTACCACACAAGGTCTGAATTTGAAAGTTGGGGTGTTCACAGTTCGTTCCAAATTGTGTCTGAAAATGTAGACGTCTACATTTTGAGACATCTTTAGCATCAAACTGTNCAGGAAAAAAACGTAGTATCATACGGGCATTACAAATACAACGTCGCGTTCTTATGTGATCTTGTATTTTTGGTTCATGACACCAAAAGAGAAATCGCTGATAATAAGACAGCTTTCAGACACATCAACTCTTGCTTTCAAGTCGGCTCGTTCCAAGGTGAAGGAGGTGAGAAGAGAGGGGAAGAATACGGATACCTCTGTACCGTCAATTCGTTTCCAGTTTTCTTGTCTCTTTGGATCTTTTCGTTGCTTCCCATTTAAAGAACCAAAAACTTGAATTCAATAAAAGTTGACGCGTCTGGGAGCAAATAGAAAACACAAAAGAGACAACTTGCTTTCAAGACTTGACGTGTCTGAAAGGGGACTAAGCAACTCGTGTTTTCGTTTCTGAAAACGTGTGTGTTTGCATTTGGGGTGTTCACAGTTCGTTCCAAATAGTGTCTCAAAATGTAGACGTCTAAAAGGCGGATGACATGAATCACAGTAGCTACACACGACGACATTTTTACATGAAAAAAGGTTTTTTTGTTCCGGTACATTTTGTTGTTACTCACTTTTTACTCTCACTTCAGAGAGTAATTTTGTTGTTTGCCATTTTTACAGGATTTTGCACGAGAAGTATTGGATCAGAGCTATTATTGAATCATGATAAGATGATAGCAATGGCTGGATTTTGTAACTGTGAGAAAGTGTAGTGTACACCGAGTTCAAAACTTACAACCAAAAACTCTCCGAATAAAACTCAGTGAGTTTTTCGGAAGAGAAGTGTACACAACTTTGACAGTTAAAACTCATTCTCATACTTACTGAATCGCAAAATGAGAAAGTGTACACAATTTTATCAGTGTACAGAATTTCAGTGTACACTTGAAAACTCAGTTACAGTGGGAAAAATTTCCAATGATGGACCAGTCTTTGAAAAAAAGGGTGTAGAGGGTAGAGGAGTCCCCCTGATATTAAATCTGAAGGCGGCCCCTCCGGAGGCTCATAGTTTTTAAGTAATTAGTAGTTAAAGTTGCAAAAAAAGTCAAATTCAGCCTCACTTTTTCCTTTATAGAGAGATTGAACTGAAACTTCATGGCTGCACACAACCAGCGTTGCCATTTTAGCCGTTATCCGGCTAGATTTAGCCGGTTGCGACAGCAAACAGCCGGAAAAAATTCGATTTAGCCGGCAGCCGATTTGTTAGCCATGTTAGAAGTTTTTAGCCGATTTTGCTCTTCGCCTTATTTTATTAAAATTCAAATATACAAGTTTATATTTTTACAAATTTAGTGCTCCAAAATCTATTAGAAATGGCTAGTCTTATCTTTGAGAAAAGTTTCATGTCGGACTGTGTTATATAAAATTGAAAAACAATCAGATAGTGAGCCGATTTCAATGTTTTTTGTTTTAAGTGAGTGACCCAAATACACATAAACTGGGACGCGTCATTTTAGCAAATTAAAAAGTTAAAAGTTTTGCTGAAATTTTGCAGAATTTTCATAATTTTTACATCAAGGATGAAATCTGTTTGTAGTATATGTGGTTTGTTATGTAATGAGCTACATATTCATAAAAAATAATAAATATTAAATAAACTAAAGAAAAATAGGCAAAACTTGCTTCACTTTTGCGTCCCAGTTTATATTTGGGAGAACGTAGCGGTGATTTTCTTCATAAAATTTTTATTATGAATGTCTTAAATTTAAGTGTGAAGTTTTATTCGCTATACTTAGAAAATAAAAGGGCACGAATTTCGATGTGGAGCAAAACTCTCTGGGAAGACAATACATGGTGCAAACATAATTTTTAAATTTTATAAAATGAAACTGCAGTAGTTTTCATCTTATGTGGATAATTCTTGTGACAAATACATAGTTTCGTGCTTATATTTCTGTATATATATTTTTAGCAGCACCACATCTTTATCAGAAAATTCCGAGCATCCAAAAATTGGTACTGTTACAAGTTGCAGGCATCATTTTAACTCGACCTCTTTCCTGTTCCACGGATAATGGTCATCTTCAGAGGTTTAAAGATATTTTGCGTCAGCAATTTGTTATCAAACTACGTACCCTACCTCGGAAAAGCAAAAAACTTTATATTCGAACGTTTGCTCAGGTGTACCGAATTCTGGCAGTTTGGAAACGCGCAACACTTTTAATATTTTCATCAGGGACGTGAACCGGATGAAAAATTTGGTCGGTTCGGTTCAGCGGTTCGAACCGTTGTTGCACTTTTGGATTGGTTCGTCAAAGCGGTTTTTTTGGTCTTTGAACCGGGGTTTCGGTTCGGTTCAACGGTTCGAAAAACAAAAAAATAACGCGCAAATTTAAGTGTCCAGTGTCAAGTGCAACAACGCGCAAGGTTAAGGGTGAATTGAGATGGGATGCCTTTACATTTGATATTGTCACATGGTAAAAAAACATGGTAGGTATTACCATGTTTAACAAAAAGGAAAAAGTGGGTACATTTATCTATTGAAACTTGGTTGAAACGAACCTTTAAACCTTTAAAGAAAGTGGTTCGGTTTTCGGTTCGGATCAAACATTTGTGAAAAATTTCAATAAAAAAAGTTGAATGGCTAAAAATATCAAAATATGAAAAAATATCAAAATATTCGCCATAAAAAGGTGTTTGCATTGTTCAACTTTGCATTCAACTTTTGGTTGAATGGCCTTTCAACTAATCGCTTTCAACAAAGTTGGTCGCCAGCCAACATTTAGCCATTCAACTTTTTTTTTCGTGCAACCCTGCGTTGAGTTGAACGCAATTGTTGAACGCAAAGTTGAATAATGCAAACACTGCTTTACCACATATTCGCGTTTTGGAGTAGTTTAATTTTTGCTCGACATAATTTTTTTTATGTTTTTAATTTTGGGAGCAAAAATTGTCCAACACTAAACACAATGTGATAACAAGAATGAGAGAATGCAAGATTTCGTATTCCCGGCGGCGATGAGATTTAAACATTTTAATAGATTTAAAAGTAAACAAAGCCGAATGAGAGGAAAACATAAAAATAAACTCTCAAACAGTAAATTTTCTTAATATTCAATTTTTCGACAGGATACGCGTTTCAATTGTTTTAGAATGCAAAATATATTTGTTATAATATGTATAGCTGGCAACACTACATCGGGTAGTGTGCCGAATGTCATAAGGTAAGGACATGATTATTCAATAAACACCACTTATACGAAAGCTGTAGAACAAGCAGCATGAAATAGAACATGGTGTCAGCGTGGGATGTGAGTGTATCAAACTAATATTTCGCAAATTTAAGCAATCGTAGGAGCGTGAAAATGTCGAGCATTCCAGAACCCTTACCACTTAATCTCGCTGCGGCAAATATAGCAGACGAATGGAAATTTTTCAGAGCAGCCTTTGAAAACTATGAAATTGCAGCAGGGCTAGATGCTAAGCAGGTAAAACAGAGAACCGCAAATCTATTGGCAATAATTGGCCTAGCCGGTTGCCGATTACTCCTGAGCAGAAGCTGTCTATCTCTGGTATATTAGATGCGCTGGAGTCACACATTGTCACATCATCACAAACATCATCAACGATAGATTCAAATTCAATACTGCAAAACAGGAAAAAGGTGAAACAAACGAGCATTTCATTCATCGCTTACGGCAACTCACAGCGACTGGCGAATTCGGGGCAATGGAAAACGAGCTCATTAGGAACGAACTAGTATTCAGCATTCGAGATGATCACGTTAGAAAACGATTGCTAACCACGAAAGATCTAACGTTGTCGGAGGCGATAAACATTTGTCAAGTAGAGCAGCAGGCTGACATACAGATGTCAACGATGAAAGACAACTTGCATATGGAAGAGCACGTGAACATAGTGAACAAACATAAATGTCAGTATTGTGGAGGTGTGCATAGATAGATAGATAGATAGTTGGTTGGGTAATGCACTGCGACCGCTGGGTCTATTGTGCCCCTAGCTCATCACAACTCCTCAGCAAGCCCCAGAGTGTCTAAAAACTTCATAATGGACCCCGGGGACAGTGAGTGTATGTGCTCCTCTCTTGGCCAGACGTACCCTATGCTTCTAAGCCTCCTGCGCGCCACGGCCTCACACTCTACAAGAAGGTGTAGGGGAGTTTCCCTGGCGGCATCGCAGAAGCGGCACAGGTCGCTGGACCAGATACCTAGTTTATACATGTGCCCTCTTAGCCTACAGTGGCCGGTCAAAAATCCTGTAATTACCCTCAGTTTGTCCTTTGGGAAATTCATGACGTTGACCCATAGTGTCACGCCAATGCAGTTCCCTCAGTTTTCTAATGTCCCTTCTGAGCATATCATTTATAGTACTTGGTCCCACTGCCAGAAAGGGCTCAGGTCCTATCGGGGCCGAGGAAGCAGCTAATCTGGCCAGGTGATCAGCCTCCTCATTTCCTGCCACCCCCATGTGCCCTGGTACCCACATTAGTTGGATATCATTGACCTCCGCCAGAGCATTAAGCCTCTCGACACATTCCAAAACCAAGGAGGACTTGATCTCGAATGATGAGAGAGCCATAAGTGCCGCCTGACTATCACTTAGTATAAGTATCCTTTCATTCCTATAATTCCTACTCATGTTGATCTCAGCGCACAAACTGATGGCATAGACCTCCGCTTGAAAGATGCTTGGAAAGGTTCCCAGGGGCACCGAAAGCTTCAGCCTGGGGCCGTACACGCCTGCTCCAATCCCCGCAGGTGTTTCAGTGTACCACTGTATTGTGCTCGCCTGTATGCGCCTTTCCATAATAGAGGCACACCAGGTCACCTTGCTGTAAGTGTAAGTCCTGAAATTCCTTTTGAAGATAACCTGTCTGTTGATATCGTCTCTGGGGAAAAGAGCCAGGGGGAGCTGGGTACCTAGCTTGTCCCTGTTCCTAGATGGGGGTCTGTTTCAGAGTGTTAAACCTGATCTCATGGTCAATAATTTTCTCCATTGCCTTCAACATAAATGATGTGAGACTTATCGGCCTGAATGACTTGGCAAGAGAGTAATCGCTCTTACCTACCTTCGGGATAAAGATAACCCTGGCCTTTTGCCACACCTTGGGAATGTGGGCCAGCGCTAGACTGTCCCTCATAACATCTACAGGATGTGGGAGTTAGAGCTCTTCACCCAGCTTCAGCAACACTGGACATATACCATCCACCCCAGGGGACTTGTACCGTTCGAAGGAGTCCAAAGCCCACCGCACCGTTTGCCGGTTTATAAGGCTCTTAGCCAGCTTCCAGTCCGATAGGGATGGCCTGTATGCACGGAACATAGCTTCCCTAGTGGTGGGAATGACGTCCGAAAAGTGGGCCGACAACAGGGCGAGTGCCCTTTCCTGTTCCGTACCTGAAAAGGTCCCATTAGGTAGCCTTATTACCAATCTCGTGCCTGTGTTGTCCCTTGCCAAAGCTTTATGAAGCCTAGCAGCTACAGGAGTGGATGCAATGTTTTCACAAAAGGTCCTGAAGCTACTACGCTTGGCCTTCCTGATCTCCTTATTGTACTTTGTCAGACTGACTGAGTATTCCTCCCAGTTCCCGGTTAAACAGTCTGCGAACCTCTTTCCTAAGAACCGAGAGTTACCGTGACCACCAGGGAGGCTGAGCCTTTCCTTTAGGCTTTGACACGGGACAGCTGGACGTAGAGGCAGGAGGTGTGCATGCAAAATACACCAAAGCCAATCGAAATAAATGTCCAGCGTATGGAAGAATATGCAAAAACTGCAACAAGAAAAATCATTTTGCAAAGGTCTGTAAGCAACGACCGAATAGCGAGAGCACCAGCGATGTTCCGAAAACAGAACGACGGCAGCGAAAACGAATAGCGAAAATCGAGGAAGCAGAGACAGACAGCGACAGCGGAGAATGCTTAAACATGATTAAAATATTCGATCGGAAGCGAATAACGCAAAATTGATCTACACTAAGCTAAAATTTCTAGTTAGAAATAAAGAAGTTCAAGTGAAATGCTTTTGTGACACAGGGTCGACGTGCAACGTAATTGGTTGCCGAGAACTGGAAGCCATTGTCGGTAAGGAGATAAAAATAAAAGAAACAGAAGTGCTTTTACGAGGTTTCGGGGGAAATATAGTACAACCAATTGGGTCAGCTATACTGAAATGCAGAACAGAGAATGACATAAGGAAAATAAAGTTTCAAGTGGTAAAAAATCCGCAAATTCCACTTTTGTCTGCAAACACGTGTCAAGGCTTAAAAATCATTCAGATTAAAGAAACGAACGCAATTGAAACAATGTCGTCGAGTGAATGTATTCTGAATCAGTTTGCTGACGTTTTTGAAGGCGATGGTCTCATCGAGGGAGAAGTACATTTAGAGGTGGATCCAAGCGCCAAACCGATACAGCAGCAACCACGCAGAATTCCAATCGCCGTACGTAATGAATTGCACGACTTGCTACGAGATCTTCAAAAACGGAAAATAATTGAAAAAGTCGACAAGCACACACCGTGGACAAGCAACTGTCTTATCGTCAGAAGAAACGGCAAAACCAGGTGATGTATAGACCCGTTCGAATTAAATAAAGCTCGCCTTTTCAGATACCAACCATCGAAGAAATATTGCCCGAACTCAAGGATGCGAAAATATTCACCACTTTAGACGAAAGAAATGGATTTTGGCAGCTAAAGCTAGACGAGCCGTCCAGTCATCTAACGACGTTCTGGACACCATTCGGTCGATATCGATGGTTAAGACTGCCGTTTGGGATTACGCCAGCTCCAGAAATTTAACAAAACTGGCAAGTCGAAATCTTGTAGGGAGTCCCAGGAGAATAGTGTTAGCTGATGACATTTTGATATTTGGCAGAGGAAAAACGCTCAACGAAGCAATAAAAGACCATAATGAGAAACTACGCAATACATTGCAAACATTACAAAAAGCAGGGATGAAGCTAAATCGCAAGAAAGCAAGAGTGGGGCTAAGACAAGTCAGCTACTATGGGCTACTTTCGGAGGTGTGCGAGCCGCTGAGAAGGCTCACAAAAAAGAACGTTGAATTCCAGTGGGGACGCGAGCAACAGCATGCATTCGAGAGACTTAAACAGCTCACCACAGCAACGCCAGTGCTTCAATTCTATGACGTCGATGAAAACGTCCAGATCGAGTGCGATGCTAGTAGTTTCGGTCTCGGAGCAGTCCAGTGATGTATGCGTCGAGAATACTCTCAGCGACAGAACAAAAATATGCACAAATTGAGAAAGAGTGCTTAGCAATCGTATTCGCATGCACTCGTTTTGATCAGTACGTGTGTGGCAAGGCAGGCTTCGAAGTCGAAACGGATCATCAACCTCTTGTCAACATTTTCAACAAGCCGGTTGCGCAAGCGACAAAAAGAGTGCAACGCATGATGCTACGCCTACAGCGATACGATATCATACTGACGTACAAAAAAGGTAAAGAAATATTCATTGCGGATCTATTATCGCGTAAATGCCGCACGCACCAGCAAGTGGCCGACACACAAAATGAGCAAGTATACGCGATACAACAGACAAAACAATTCGATGAAATGTGCATGCAAATTTAAAATATCAATCTCTTAAGTGAAGTATCACTGAATGATGATCAGCTAACGAGTATTCGCTCAGAGAGTGAGCAGGATCCGGAAATTCGCCAGCTAATGGAAACTTGCCAGAAAGGCTGGCCAAATGAAAAGTCAGCAGTAATAACGATAATTCAGCGTTACTGGAATATACGCGATGAGATCACAATCTGTGATGGAATATTACTACGCGGTGATAGAACCATCATACCGAGAAACTTAAGAGCACAAACTATTGAGGCCCTACATTATGGACATACGGGAATCGAATCCTGCTTACGTCGAGCTCGAGAAACAGTTTATTGGCCAAATATAACTGACCACATCAAAAATGTCATTCAAAATTGTCAAACGTGTTGGGAAACGTCGACAAGTCAAGCCAAGCTGCCACTGCAGTCGTCACCGTTCCGGAGTTGCCATTTCAAGGTGTTAATATGGACCTGTGCGAAGTTCCACGACAGACAGGTAACACCAAAGAAATTTTGCTAATTGTTTCCGACTCATTCTCAGACTGGTTCGAAGTGGAAGAGCTTCGAAGTATGACAGCCTCAACCATAGTGTCAGCTTGCAAACGGATATTTAGTAGGAAGAGAATACCATCGGTAGTCGTAGCGGATTCGGGTACGTAATTCAACAGTAGAGAGTTTCTAAAGTTCGCATAAAATTGGGGTATGAAAGTAACTTTGACGCCACCACATCACCATCAAGGAAATGGGAAAGCAGAGTCGGCAGTCAAAATCGTCAAACGTATCTTTCGGCGAGCAGATAAAAGTGGACAAGATCGTTGGCTAGCGCTGTTAGAATGGCGTAACACACCCAACCACATGCAGACAAGCCCGGCCCAACGGCTATATTCACGTCGGTTACGAACGCAATTGCCAATGAAACAATCGCGGTTGCGACCAGAAGTTCAGCACAATGTACCAAATAAAATCATAGAAGCGCGTAAGAAAGCAAAATTTCATCATGACAAGCGAGCAAAACAACTGCCAGAGCTGGAAATAGGCCAGGACGTATACGTGCAGCTGAAGCCACACCATGATAGCAGTTGGAAACCGGCAGTTGTAAGCGACAAATAGTCTACGCGCAGATATCAAGTCGAATGTGAAGGAAAGGTATACGTAAGGGATCGACAAAACGTCCGAGCGTGCCCACCGAAAATTACATCTTCTGTGAAGACACCGTTAACGATGAAATCCAGTTTGCTCCGAACAACTAACGACTAGGTCTATCGAACTACAACCAACATCTGCGTGAGCACCTGAGCCTAGGTCACCGAAGCGAGGCGAGTCAGCGACACAAATAAAGTCTCCGATAACATCCTCGCAAGTAGCAGCTCAAACAAAGTCTCCGTCAACATCCTCGCAAGGAGCACAATCTTCGTTAACATCTTCGCACCCTGGTGCGAAATAAAGTCAATTGACATTATTACCTTTTCAAACGCGAAATAAAGTCAACAAAAATTTGGAAATAAAGTCATTGACGCTATTTCCTCATTCAAATGGAAATAGCGTCAACAATGCTTAAAGTATGTCGATTCATAGAAAAAAATGTTGTTCTTACAATAAACATTGCCCCGTAAGTGTTGTTTTGTAATAGATGAAAAAGGTTATTGCCAAATCCTCAGTGTTGTGATATTAACCCACACACAATCATGAACTACAACCAATTGATTTTATTAAAAAAATTTAAATGACGAATATGTAAAAACACGATGCGAAAAACTAAACGCCTGCGCACATGGGGAATACGAGAAATATTTGAAGAAAGAGTGTAGAAATGATCCATAAATTGCAAAACATGTTTCGTTTCCACAAAAATAAAGCGAACACTATTAAATTGAAGAAACAGTCCATGTCCAAAAACTCCGGAGGAACACTGAAAGAATTCTATGTTTTAAATAAGCATATTTTGAACGAATTCGGAATGTCTAAGAGGGAAAAGAAACCAACCTTTCTATAAGGAAATAATTATAGAAAAAGAGTTACATTTAACTGATGAAAACATAAATTTGGCCCTGTCAAAATAAGGAATAGAAAACATCAATTGTTTTTAAATTGGATGTTTACATAAATCTGATGGTAGTAGTAGTAGATATATTAATATTTCGCTCAATATTTCGTTTAAAATGCTGTCAATAATTATCTAATCGGGATTGGATGCCATAATACCCACACATTTCGCTACACAACTCTCATTACAAGATGCAAATCTATTGCATACAATTTTCTTTTTAAATAATGAAACAAAATAACTACTGCTACTACAAAATTGGAAAATATCACAGAATTTTCAGAAAATGTATTTATTTGGTAATTTTATTAGTCATATAAGATAAATACACGTAAAATCATTAGTGGTATTCATCTAAATCGATAACTTTATCAAGCAGATAATCTTATAAGTTTATGCACTCTGTTACATGAACGACCCACACTCTCTTTTCGTTTACACATGCGACAATAGTCATGTTTTCTTTGGTTATAAAGCGCAGTGTCACTAGCTTTATACTACTAGCACGGGGATAAAGAAATTATAGAAACTACCTCACTAAATTGGAAAAAATTATATTTACGAGATATCTATTTAAATAAATGTACATATAACATAAAGGCTATTTATTTGAAGCAAGTTATAAGAAACAATGGCAGAATGTCTGTTTGTGTATGAATTCATTTGTCACGGCTACCAAACTTTGCGAATTATCAGTGAAACAAAACAAACAGACGGGATAATAATTGAACCAGATCTCTATCAGGATCATATCGTTGTTGAATTTGCGTGCAAAATTTGTATGGAAACTCGTTTACACATTTCTGATAAATTTATCCAGCGATTTCACTGAATAAACTTGATAAACTGAAGACAATGCAACTCTGTCGCAACTCTAGCTATGTTTTCTTAGGCAATAATCGGGATCCGCATACAAATTTTGCCCGCAAATTCAACAACGATATGATCCTGATAGAGATCTGGTTCAATTATTATCCCGTCTGGGTAGTAGTGCACTTTAGCGAAGGTAGGTCAAAATGGACGGAAAAAGTTCGAGAGTGGTATCAATCGACGCGTCTTAACGCCAATAATAACAATCCGAGACAGGAAATTAAGATTTTTAATTCATTGAAAAGTTATTTGCAAAAAACACTTGCACTTTCCGCCTACGCAGAAAGGTGTTCTCTGCAAAAGGTGTTCAGCCCCCCTTCTTTGGAACACAGAAAGGAGAATTCTACTGCCTGAGGGTTATAATCCCTAAGCGCGGCCGAAGGCCGCCTACGCAGAAAGGTGTTCGATGCACAAAACATTTTTAATATAGTGGCAGCAGCAATTTAGTTACATTTTATTTTTAATAGAGTGGCAACACTAGTTTTTCTCCATGTTATTTATATTAACTACGCAAGATTGTTGTGCGGATTTTCATCATCGGAATATTGCTATTAAATACAGAATTTCGCGAAAGTGTACACTTAAAACATCACAAATGTATAAAAACTAATAAATACGTGTTAAATTAAGTTCATTTCTTCCTTTCATTTGTGTGAAATTCATCGAAACATAGTGCGGAAAGTGCAAGTGTTTTTTGCAAATAACTTTTCAATTAATTAAAAATCTTAATTTCCTGTCTCGGATTGTTATTACTGGCGTTAAGACGCGTCGATTGATACCCCTCTCGAATTTTTTCTGTCCATTTTGACCTACCTTCGCTAAAGTGCACTTTTACCCCCGTCTGTTTGTTTTGTTTCACTGATAATTCGCAAAGTTTCGTAGCCGTGACAAATGAATTCATACACAAACAGACATTCTGCCATTGTTTCTTATAACTTGCTTCAAATAAATAGCTTTTATGTTATATGTACATTTATTTAAATAGATATCTCGTAAATATAATTTTTTCCAATTTAGTGAGGTAGTTTCTAGTAGTATAAAGTTAGTGACACTGCGCTTTATAACGAAAGAAAACACGACTATTGTCGCATGTGTAAACGCAAAGAGAGTGTGGGTCGTTCATGTAACAGAGTGTATAAACTTATAAGATTATCTGCTTGATAAAGTTATCGGTTTAGATGAATACCACTATTGTTTAGAGCTGATATGTTGATTCCGGGCACGAAATGTGGTTGTTTGCGTTCCTCACGCTCTGGGCACTTTTTGCACGTGTTGGCACATTTTCGACACTTGTGAGAGAGTAACTTATTTTTACTCTCAAATTACCGGAGCAGCCCGGAAAGCGTGGGGAACGAAGCATTGAATCATGCCAACTATTCAAGCTGGAGTTGTAAAACCATCGATAATAGATATATCCATCGATAGTTTTTGATAGTTTTGAAAAAACATCGATGGTCTTCGATAGTCTCCAAAAAATTAACTATCGATAGTGCCATCGATAGGTTTGCAACTCTACTTGGTGGAAATCTCGAGTCGACTGGTTGCTGATGATCTTTGTAAACAATGGATATAAACACGGTGGTTAATACACCTTCTGTTGAAACTATTTTTGTTCCTGGCTGCCCGAATATTAAGACGCAGGCGTCTCATCGAAGAGTAGTGAAAGAGCAAATTTTTGTTGCCAATTTACCAGTAATTACTGAGACGAACGTTGCCAAAACAGAGTTCATATCGGATGATGATTGTGAAGCAAATAACAGTGCATTAAGCAAAGACGACTACGCCACCAATAGTAACAGTGACGATTTTGAAGCATACAAAAGAGATTTTGAAGAAAATCTAAAAAAAAGCGCAAAAATCGATATAAATAAAGTAACTAAACAGCCCACAAAAAAACGTTTAAAACTTTCTGAAAGAGTCACAGAAGAGCCCAAGTTCGTGTGCAATATATGTTCAATGGGGTTTCAACGTGTGAACAATTATACCATCCACATGAAGAAAAAGCACAAAATTGTTGGGGCAACTACTCCTTACAGTTGCCCTAATTGTCCACGAAAGTACGAATTTGAGTATGAGTTGAAACGACATATGCAAAAGTACAGACCGCTAGAAGAAAGACTTGTCCATCCTTGCTCACACTGTGATCGGAAATTCCAAACAAGAGTTCACGTGGCTCGACATATAAAGTTTGTTCATGACAACATACGTCCATTTATATGTGAAGAATGTGGAGAAGCTGTGCATACAAGTACCACCTTGCGGGAACATATGCTCACCCACACAGACTATTCGCCATTCGAGTGTAAAGAATGTGGGAAGTGTTTTAAGCAGAAACAGCGTCTGAAAGTAAGATATTCATAATTAATTAAACATTCAAGATCTACACTCAAGCATGCATACATATCGCACGTTTAATAATGGCTGCGTTTCTTTAAACATTCCGGATAATTCAATTTCACAGCCAGAATGCGTTTGAAATATACGTTAACATATCATCAGGAACGTTCTAAAGAATAAGTAAACAAAAGACACGAAAAATTACACTGAAGATGGCACAACGCCGAAACCGGTTTGTCTGCAAACCAAACTTGACAAGGGATGACGGAAATTCGTTCCAAAATAAATCATCTTAGCACCCGGTCGGGAAGATCAACCAACTCCAAACACATAAACAAAAAAGGTTGTTCCAAACGTTCAGAATGAATAAAGAAATGCAGCCAATATAACGAGCCTGCAAACCAAAGTTCCCGAAATCTGAACGAAATCGTTAGGAGAATCTCATTTCTGTAACGATTTTTTTACGAATCTTTGAAGAAAATTATATGAAGTGGTTGACACGAACTCGTAAAGAGATTTCTGTACGAAAAATAAAAAAATTCTGAAAAATTTCTGCAAGAAATTCTTCACATAACAGCATTATTTTCATTGCTTTTATCCAAAATTTCGTAAAAGAATAGAAGTGTGCACACTTGTTTCGGACGAGATCTTTACGAATTCTTTAAAATTTCTCTGCAAACAAAAGTTCTCGAAATCTTAATGAAATCTTTAGGAGGATCTTATTTCTGTAACGATTTTTTACGAATCTTGAAAGAAAATTGTATGAAGTGGTTGACACCAACTAGTAAAGAAATTTCTGTGCGAATAATAAATTAAATTCTGAACAAATTCGGCTAGAAGTTTTTCACATTACAGNTGTAATAAATTAAATTCTGAACAAATTCGGCTAGAAGTTTTTCACATTACAGTATTATTTTCATTGAAATTTCGTAAAATGGTCGGAGTGTGCACAGTTTATTTCATTTTAGAAAATTCGGCAAAAAATCGGATGCGATCTTTACGAATTCCTTAAAATTTTCCTACAATTCAGAATACACTGAAAAAACAGTTTGCAGGGGGAGTATTCCAAAATTTTAATTTTTATCAATTAGTTTCGTAATCTGTTGGACTGAACATATTCTCCTTATCAAGTTTATTAACTGTATGTGGAAACCTCCAAAAACGTACATAAATTTTGAATTTACATTATTAACCGTGCGATATTATTTGCTTAATTTTTTACTAGAGACACATGGATATTCACGGAGAAAAACATATCTGTACAAAATGTGGCAAGCAGTTGAGTTCTCGTTGCACACTTAATAAGCACTTGCTGGTTCATTCAGAAGGAAAGCCACATAAATGTGAATATTGCGGACGTGCCTTCAAGCTTTCTAAAACGCTGAAAGTACATTTAAATACACACACTGGAGATAAAATTTACGCCTGTGATTTTTGCGATAAAACTTTCACTGCTCCCTCTAGTCGTCGTCAGCACAAAAAGAAAAAACATCCAAAGGAATTACTTGAACAAGAGAGGTTAACAGCAGAGTCTATAGAAACAAAAGGTGTAGAAAGCTTAGTCCTACCTAACCTGAATATATAAAAAAAAGGTGTAGGAAGCTCAGTCCTGCCTAACCGGAAGGATTTGAACCGGTCAAGTAGTGTCGCTCAGCAGCATTCACTAAAACTCTTTGGGAAGTCTACACAACAAACACATGTAATTGAATCGAGGCAGCAGTATGCAGTTTTCCCGAATGCTTTCCAATACAGCCCTCGAAACTGCTTGGCTTCATCAGAGCACTAGGGCTGGACGATGTGTTGTGATGAGCTCTGAGAGCTGAATAGACCTAAGGTCGCAGTGCACATCCTCTAACAAATCTATCTATCAATACGTCTCCGACATCATGGGTTACGTTAGCGTATTGTTGGAATCAATGATTTTTTTCACATTTACTATTGTATACATATGTACGTATGGATAAAGATTATTTGTACATATTTACTAAATTTGGTTTATAACTATTTTAGCCATTGTTAGAAAATTTTATAAATCCCTCGAGTCGTTTAACTGAATTGAGATTCTATTGAATCTTTGAAAATCAGAGCTGGGCAAAATTAATTCGAACGACGAATACCATTAACAAATTTTTGTTTTCGTTATTCGTAATAGTATATAGTAAATAATTTCTTTTATTCAAAGAAAATTATTCGACTGATTCTGACTAGCCCGGACTCGTACGGGATCGCAACTGAAAATAACAAAGTCGGCAAAATGGCATCAGCTGATTGTCGTAAATATGTAATTATGCTATGAAAATTACATACTTTTTTTCTTACAAAAGGGACCTTTATGTCATTTAAATTCCCATTTTGGGTATTTAACTAGCCTTTATGGACACCTTTAACTTTAAAGTGGCTTTATGAATTCGATCAGCCAAATAAAGCCTTTAAATTTTAAAGTATTTTTAATATTATTATGAAATCGGCCCTTAGTTTCATGTTTAGATGCATAAAACCTTGGTAATAGATTAGATAAAATGGTTTTTCGAAAAAAAAAAATACTTTGGGCTTTATACATAAATGAACTTAACAATGTGTCCGCGAGACCATTGTGCGCTGTTAAGGGTTAAGTACCGACTTCAAAATTTTTAAAATATCATAAACAAATGCACTTTGCCCACGTAACGGTAATTTCAAAAAACACAAAACTAGCTAAATATAAGGGGGAGAGGTTTTTATTCGAATATGTAATTTAGGGATGCACAACAGAGGTGCACGCAGTCGACGTCGCGGGCAAACTGCGAGCACACCAGCGTGCTAGGCGAGGAGAAGTGAGCTGTACGGAGATGGCATCGTATATATATTAACCACTACACACTTATTTTCAAGTAAAAATGCATGATACAAAAAACAAGGTAGTTCCATTGTCACTTTTTCGTCGCCATATTAACAACCTGACAATTAAGCAGATTGTGAAATTTCGTGCTACCATACACAATATCTAAAATCCTTCAAATTTTCTTATTAAGTTTTTGTCGATCTAAAAACCTTTGTTCTTAAGCATAGTATTTTATTCCTGTTTCACGTGAAAAAGCTGTTAAATTTTATACAAAACTTCTTTCTGTGAAATAAGTGTGAAATTCCACAACATTTCCTCAGCAAAGTAGTATCAAATAAAACACCTCTTTGAGGTAAAATTTTCGAGTGACGAGAGCTGAACTAGAAACACAAAATTTATGATATCAATTTCGTGACGAAAATTATACGCATTTTTTAACTGCCTTGCCCGGTTTGTAGTTGCAGTTAAAGAAAACACTTGAAAAGGCACGATTTATTTTTAAATTCGAAAAAATGTAAATATTTCAAAAACGGTGATACTTTTACCTGACAATTTTTTGTTTATCAGTGAGCTCACCCTCCCACCTACCTTCCCCTAAAGTTTGGCACGTTACTTCTGGGACACCCTGTATAATAAGCGAGTCATTTCAGCATGCTACTGCTGCTGCTTTCGTCACTCGCGCGCATTGCCGTTCGCTGTGATTCTGTTCACGCTGTGAAAAAGCTCGCAACATTTTTGCAACATGAAGCTA